AAAAAAACGAAGTCCAGATGACATGATTCAACCTTTTTTGTTGTTATATACCTGGATGACTGAGAAAACAAACTTTGTGTTTTTGAAACCATTAGTGAAAAGGCCAGACTTCAGGGGTATCTGAGGCAGGCTTGAAACACAAGAGTCAGGGTGGCTTCTGGGTAATACCAGATGGCTAGGCCTCAGACTGACGAAACCTCTTGGATGAGGGGCGAAACGTTTCTTTTTAACAAAAAAACGAAGTCCAGATGACACGATTCAACCTTTTTTGTTGTTAAACATATCAAGGTTTATTAAAATAAATCTTTAAAAAAAATCTTAATTGAGTATAATATTCAAGGGTTTGTTTGCACTTCATTCAAACATTAAAACAGGTCATATGAATAGGTAAAACATCGTCATCCGGTTATTGTTATGGAATTAAACAAAAAATGTTTTAGTTTGAACTCTGTCAGTGTGTGGTAAATCCACCCAAAATTGTATTTTTGTTTCTATAATAAATCAAATTATCACAGAAGAGCTTAATATGTCATTTCAAGCAATACAATTTCTTAAATTTTAATCCTGGAACAATTTAAAAATAACCATATACATTTAATGAAACACGCTGGACTGCAGTACCCTGCATTGACCAGGAGGAGCTCCAGACCAGCAGGGGGCGCTGTGGTTCTTCACCAGCGGTCTGAATGAAAAGTTCAGGAAGTTGAACTGAAGCGTTCATTCTGCTGTAAAGTGAAAGAAAAGATGATGGTAGAGATGCAGGATGAGTTTGAAACTTTAGATGACTGGTTTATCGAGTCCCTGAAAACGTGAGAAAACATTTACTTTTTGTCTAAGCGTCGTGTTTTATTATGTCAGCTACCAGCGACGAGAGCTTGCTTTTAAAATAATGTCACACTAAAGATGAACCAAACAGTATTTGTGAAGACATTACATGTCAAATTCAAAAAAAGTTGAATTAACACCATTTGTTTAAATGTGTGGCTACTTTTTTAATGTTAGAAACTTATATTCACACCAAAAAAAGAAAAGTTAATTTGAGTAATTAGACCAAAAGTTTGATATTTTCAATGTTTCTGTTCTTACAGGTACAAAGATCTCCATGTGTTTCAGCTGGAACACCCCACTCAGGTCATCGAGTGGACTTCAGGAAAGAGCAAGTTGAACCAGTCATTATCACCAAATGTTTTTGTTATTTGATCATTTATTAGGATTTCTATGTTTGTTGTGGGGATAGTTTAAAACAAGCACAATGAAAAGCTTCAGTGGAGAATATCAACAATAATGGGGGGGTTGCACAGCTATATTTAAGAATATATGAAGTCAGGACTGTAGCTGCTTTGATTGTATTCATTGATTGTATTTCTTGTGTTTTGAAGCCGTCTGTGTCGCTGGCTACAGCTCTTCTAAAAATGAAATTTTGGAACTTCGTTTGCCACTGAAACTTTTTGCGGATGAAAACAAGGTAACGCATCAATAAAAGTGTAATCTTTTTATTATGAAAATGTCCAGATGTTTGTAAGCGTTGCTATGCGGTGATATGTTCAGGGTCTCTGTGCAGAACGGGATTTCAAAGTTGTCCATGGTGGTTTTACAGAAGGTCCGACTCGCTGCTTGAAACACGTCCCAGGTACCAGGTGAGTTCTGACGAAGACATTCCACGTAGATTACCTGCGCTGGACGTTTGTCATTCTCTCCGCTCGCGTCCGATTCCTGTGAGAAGTTTTAACGGACTTTGACTTTTGGTTCAACGTTTCTTTTATGGAATTTACTTTGACAAATTTAAAATAATGTATTATTTCCAAAGAAAGTGATAAATAATTAAAAAATGTGAAATAAATTACATATCAAGCACAAAATCTGACTGGACTGATATTTTACTAAGTCATCAGAGAGGCTGTGGTAGATCGGTGCCGTGGTCTTGTAATCCTGAGGTTGCGGGTTCGAGCCCAGGTTGCGTCAGGACGGCATCCGGCGTTTAACAAATTGCCAAATCTTTCATGTGAGCTCGCTCGCTGTGGTGCCCCCTGAAGAAGGGAGCAGCTGAAAGAAACTTACTGAGTAATTCAACAGTTTGTATAATAAACAATATGGCATGCTCCGACAAAAGAAACCCAGCACACATTGTGTTAACATATTTATCACTTCTAACCTTTTCACTAATGTATTTTTGTCCCATTTTCTCTTGTGCTGATTGTTTTGAATTGAATGACTGGTTCTAAAAAGTGCCATTATAAATGAGTCACCACTGAAATTAAACAGCTTCATTGTTTCATCAATAATAACAGTAAACTGCAGAGTTCTTACTCCGTCGGTGTGCTCATTGGTTTTAAAACATGTGAAACTACTCTTTAATCAAATTAAAGTTGTGACAGTTTGTTGGTTGGCCTTTTAACGAAGCAGTAGTTACAGAATTTTAATCTGCAGCAATTCACATGATAAATTAAAGTTATTTTGAGCCAGTTTGCCAAACATCTAGTACATGCTTCCCCTGTTATTTGTTTTTTATTTACATTTTCAGTACAAAGAGGTTAATCAGTTAAATAGGTGACAAAAATGAACTGTTAGGGACTCCAACTGGCTGCTCGTGTATTTTTACTTTAATGAGGGTTTGTTTTAGATTTGTTGGTGGTACTTCTGACTGAAAGTCCTTGTTTGAACTGAATGATGTCGTATTTTATATTGTTTCCACCTAGCTTTGCTTAATCACATCTTTCGTATTCCTTTAATTAACATCAGGTGTGTTGTGACCAACGATGGGCAGAACACCGACCTGCAGGTGTGGGACCTCGGAGGAGACGACAGCGGTGAGATTAATTTTACTCCAGCATGTGACGTGACACAAGGTTTAACACCAGAATAGAGACATCCTGATAAATATTTGAGGAAACAACTGATCATCAGATCAAAACTTAACACCACAAAACAGCAGTCAAACAATGACGGATACTGGCTGTATTCAAAAATGATTTGTAGCATCATGGGTAAAAATGAGTTGTAGAAAACTGATAAAAGTTTTACCTTAATGTTGTTATTTGTATCAACTAAGTGAAAGGCAAGAAAACTACAAGCTTGTCATGAATAAAACTCTCTTTGCAGCCGCTGGACAAATACTCGAGGCTGATTTTATCGTCACAGATCCATTACGTTTTAAAGTGTAGGAGACATTTACAGAGTTGTATTTGAAAACGAGCATTATTTGTGTCCTTAGAAATAAAACACTGAAGTTATTTTCTTGTAAGGAATGTTAATTAAACATTTCATTGATGGTTATTCAGTGTAAACACAGATTTTCTTGTTTTGGACAAAAAAAAAAGTTCAGGTTTTTAAATGTTTTGCGTCACATGGTTGTTAGGAAAATATATCTGTTGTAAAATATTACACGTGCAAGATATATGAAAGTTCACATTAAAGGTTTTAATATCTTGTTTTTTTGCAGTAGTTTGTGTATAAAGTAAATCTGAATTTTGAACTTGTTTTGATTTATAATGATGCAAAACTGCTGTCTTAGCAACTATACGAGGCTCTTCTATCTTACCCCAACTCGACCTCCAGTTCTGAAATGATCTGCAGTATTTCTCAGTTTGTGTTAGTTATAAGCACAAATTCAAAACTTAACCCACAAAATATTAATACTTCTTCATGCTAATGACACCACTAAGGTCTCAATTCACGTTCTGTTATTTTAGACGGTGTTTATGGTTTGTATCTGTTTTAAACTATTGTCTTTTGTGTAACAACAGATGTGATCAGGAGGACGGGAAGTGTTAAGGGAGGGAATGTGTCAGAGACCGGCAGCAGGATCGCAGCTCCACCTTCGACTCCACCTCAAGTCCTTCACGGAGCGCGAAGCAGCAGCGTCCAGCTGACGCAGCTGATCTCAGGACAGACTCTTTATAAACTCGGTAAAACTATTTCCTCTGTACAGATGACTGACTGTCGTAATGTTCAGGTAACACCGTGCGTTTGTGTTCCTCCAACAGAGACGAGTTCAGACAAACCTCTGAGCTCCTTACAGTTTGTGAGCGACTCCGTTTTTTTGGCCAGCTGCTCTGACGGGAGCGTTTACGTCGCAGACGCCCGGACTTCTGCTGCTCCTCAGCGTCTTCCTCCACCCACACCCTCAGACGAATCAGGTGTCTGGTGGACAGACACCTCTGTAGCTCCACAGCAGGCTGACTGCAAGCTTGTCAGACTCTCCTCCTCTGGACGGGCAGTCGTGTCAGATTGGAGGAGTTTGGGAGGCGTCGTGTGTCAGGCTCAGCTGGACATCCAGACACGTCCCCACGAACTGAAGGACGTGACGGTGTCCTGGGCTCCGACGCTGGACGGATACATCTCAGTGTCAGGTCGGTGTTTACACACACTGATGCAGATTTAACATCAAGAATATACAAAGGCTTTGAGTAAAGATGTTTTAATAGTTAATTAATTTTATCAACAGTAAAACAACATTTGGGCTCATTTATCTTTT